TACCACATTCATTGCTAAGAGGTTAGATTTCAAAACAAGTTCACCTAATCTAAAATATCCTGCAAAGGCAAGGTTAAAAATGGCATGAAGGAGAAAACGATTAGAATGTACTGAAACAACGGACGGAATTGCACTGAGCAGTCGAGTTAAAATAGGACCCGTTATTGGTAAACGGTTATCAGCTCTTTCATGTAATTTCTTAGCTCCTTTTAATAAATTTTTTGTCACAAAAGATTGAATGGGTTCATCATACCCCAAAGACTTTTGTACAAAGCTCAGAACTGATGCATGGCTAGCAATAGTACTAGGTGCAAAGCCGGATTCAAACAAGTGTGCTAGAAAATTAATTACAATAAAACTTGGTATAGGAAAACATGGAGACAAATTCATTATTTTACAATAGTCTAAGAAACGAGACCAATCTCTCCGGTAAGACAATCTGGAACTAGGCGATAAGGCTTCACTTAATAACCGAATGGCTGTAGTGCTCAAATTCTGATTATACTGGGATCGACTAAATGAGGAGTGCTGTCTAGCCACGGTGCCCATTCTCTGGCTTTCTGAAATTGAAAACGAGACAAATGGTCAGCCACCACATTCGTTTTGCCAGCAATGTGTTTTGCCCGAAGAAGCACATTAAATTTAATAGAAGCTAGTACCAAACGCCTTACCAGAGACATCATGGCCTGACTTTTAGAGGTAGCTTTGTTGATTACAAATACAACACATTCATTATCCGTCAATAATAACACTCTATGATTCCTTAGCAGATGACCCCAAGTCTCTAGTGCCAGCACAATAGGGAATAGCTCTAGAAAGTTAATACTTTGACAGAGAAAATCTGGGGGCCAACTGCCAAAAAACCATTTGGACCCAAATACAGCTGCATAACCTGCGGAAAGAGCAGCATCAGAGTAAAGTTTTATGCAGTCGGAATTAACCCAATTATCAAATAAAAACATGCTTTTTCCATTAAAGTGAGCCATAAATTCAGCCCACATTTGCAGATCTAAACGTGCAGCATGGGAAAGGCGAATACTGTAATGGGGTTTGTCAACATTTATTGTCAAATCATATAACCGTCGGAGAAAAGTACGGCCAGGAACCACAACCAACGTGGCAAAATTTAACAAACCTAACAGTGATTGTAATTCCCGTAAAGTGACCTTCCGACGATTCTTAAAAAACAATAACTTATCATTAATTTTCCTTAATTTTTCAGGTGGTAACCGACAAGTCATCTCAGACGAGTCAAGTTCAATACCAAATATAGTTAAACAAGTAGTTGGGAACACTGTCTTGGAGTGTTTAATAGGAATATTTAAATAATTAGCTAAACTCATAAAGGATTGTAAGGAGTCCAAACACTGAGAAGACTGTTCAGGGCCAACAAAGAAAAAATCATCTATCATATGGCTCATGATTGCCTTTTTCTTTGACACCATAAACCACTGTATAGCAGAGCTAAAGCGCTCAAAGGTCTGACAGCTCATGCTGAGACCCATGGGCAAACACATATCTGCGAAATAGTAATTCGTATCATTTATTGGTACGGTAAAGCCTAAAAGACCATAATCGTCAGGGTGTATTGGCACTAAACGATAAGCGTCCTTAATATCAGCTTTGGCCATAAGAGCGCCCCGGCCCATTTGTTTGACTAAATAAACTGCAACATCTAACGTTTCGTAGGAAACCTCAGTAAATACAGGATCAATATGATCATTTATAGAGTTGCCTGGAGGGAAAGATAGATCATGTATTAAACGGAAAGCACCCTGCTCAGATTTCGGAATGACCCCTAAAGGAGAGCACCTCAATGTTGAAATTGGAGGATAATCAAAAGGACCCATAATTCTATTTTCTAACAATTCTACGTTAACTTTTGAAAGTAAAATATTTAAATTATCACGGCACGACGAATGATTTTTTGCAAAGTAAAATGTTCGCTCTCCAGAATACGGAATTTTAAAACCCTCAGTGAAACCAGAATAAAGATATTGGCGTTCTATTGGATCATAACCATCAAGTAATTCCCACAACCTACTTGGATTTATTGGGGTCGGCACTTTTGCTTGAGGATGGACTTGCTTTACGAAAAATATAGCGAGAAGATTGCGCATTAGGTGTCTTAGCTCCAGCATTAGAACCAGATGCAACTGGCTGGTTTGCTGGAGGAGCAACAATTGAATCCGAAAGATTAGACACAGCAGGAGGGTACATGGCTGACGTTAGAGTCTGATTATTATAGTCCACTGAAGGTGGAGTCCTATCAGATTGATTTTGAGTATTCTTACGTACTTTAGCATAACAGTTAATAGCTGGATGAGTGTATCCACAACGTGAACAAACATGAGCAAAACGACACGAAGTGCGCTTGCATCCAGACTGGGAATTAAAACCCCAGCAAGTATTACCATTACTATTAGAAGTTTTGGTATTCTTGGTAGTTTTAGATTGATTAACTGAAGATGTACCATACAAAGTGGTAGCCCTTAGCCAGTAATCTGCATGGATTTGATTCCAAGGATGAGGACAAGATTGCCTATTCATCCTAAACTGTGTATCGTAAAACTGCATGGCTTTTATTCCATAGAGCCGGGCCAACTCTGTAACCAAATTTTGGTAGACCAATAAGCTTGAGGTCAATTGAGGTGATTTTTGAATCAAAACGTCCATAAATATGGAAAAAGCATGTTGCCATTGGTCTAAATTAAGTATTCTGGCTTTTTGAGACGAGGTGATTTTGAGAACAGGTTCAACATCTGACTCTGAAAAATTTAGAGAGAGTTGAGATGGCACGGCTCCAGGGAGTAAGGAAGAAAATTCAACAAATTTGTCCATCCATATATCCTGCTGAAGTTTTTCTGACACATGTCTTGAAATTGACATACCTAAATCAGACTTGGCACTGTTAGCATCTGGAATGTCTGCAGGTTGAAACAAGGCTCCAGCATTTACAGAAAACACTGATTGATTATTTCCAGTCGATGTGGTTGATAACGGTACAAATGTCCCAGGAGTAGAGGCAGTTGAAGTTGAAGTAGAGGCAGTAAATTCAGAAGCTGAAGTTGAGGTAGTTGAAGCAGAGGCAGTTGACTGTGGAGTAGGTGTAGGGATGGAACTAACCAAACCTCTATCAATCAATTTTTTAATCAAAATTTCGGTCAATCTGTCTTCAGCCGTTGACATGGGACATGATCCAGATGTTGACGGCTCACCACTACCCTCATCTAATGGGCGCTTCGATCCACGTTTAGACATCACCCTGACTGAAGCACAGTGTTTGGAATTTACTTACAGTATCATACCAGTACCAAGATATCACTTAATAAATAAAAAAGCTAAACAGGCACCCCTAAGTACCACATATCTCCAAGATATGAATGATTAAAAACAAGCACCCCTAAGTACCACATATCATCAGAGAATGAATGATAAAAAACAGGCACCCAAGGTACCACATATCTCCCAAGAGACATGAAACAGACCTACCATGCGTAGATGGTAACGCATGCCCCTCAATAGAGCATCACGCAAACTCTTCATTAATTTATAATTTCCCACCATATTAGAAAGATGAATACCATCAGCAGCATAAATATTTACAAGGGGCCGATGGAGCCCAGCTCTATGCCTCCAAGATGTAATGTACCTCTCAGAAAAACAAAGAGCCTCTAACTCCATATTGGTAACCAAAATCTTGGCATTATAGCCGTTATAAGGTTCACACTGCCTGGGCAAAAGTTGGCTTATTATAACTAACTTGGGATGCCAAACACACAACACATCTTTAGCGAAGTCAAAGACATCCCGAGCTATAACCGACGGAAATGATAAAATGTCGCACAAATCATTCGATCCTAGATGGAGCATAATTATATCCATTTCCGAAAATCTCGAGTTCGTGACGGACAGTCTTCCGTGCGGATCATTGCGGACTAACAGACCGCCATGTCCCCAGCAAGTTACTCGACACACACGCCGATCCAAATCCAAATTAACATGATTAAAATGCGATAAATAAACCGCTAACCGTTTTATATATGAAGAACCAAATATAAGAATGTTTAAAGGAGGTGATGAGCAAACGTCGGGAAGCAATACAGTCGACTTTTTTACGGAATAAAGAGGCGCACGCTCATGTACAGGAAGAAAACCCGCCATGTTATATCAACCAAACGAAAACGAGGCCAAGCACCAAACGCTTTTTTTTTAATAATATTATGACTAACTCGTCGCTGACACGATCCGTTCAAACACTGAAATTAATCAGACAATAATATGCTACTTATCTTAC